GTAACATTCATTTATAACATTTGAAGGATTATTCATGGAAAAATTATGCAAAGGAAAAAACAGTGAGATCCTTTGGGATATGGGTAAACTTTTCCAAATGTTCTTGCCACAGATCTCTGAACAGCACTCAACTTGCTCTGATGAAGTTATCTCACGTTCTCTAATGCAAACACATTTTTAATAACATTTTAATATTTTTATATGTCATTCCTGTGCATGTCAGCATAATCTTGAAAATGATGCTGAGAAATAATGAAAACCAAACTAACCCTTGTTCATGCCAGCTGACTGGAAAATCCTGCTAAGAGTGCTTTGTCTCCATGAAAGGCAAAATAACAGAATAGCAATCATGGTAACAGTATGCACTAGGAGTGGAGCCAGAAGAGTTAAGACAAGAGTTAGCAGTAGCAGATGACTTCACTTACTGGAAAAAAGGGGCAAAATCACTCAATCCCAAATGAATTTAAATATTGGAATTTTGTTATCAGCAGTATCAGGCATAACTTCTCCAGCTAATTGCTCAGCAGTCTGGTATGTCCATAAACATCCCTTGGTCTGTGCAGTTGTCATCAGTATCTCACTGCTTACCCTCTTTGGCATCCTTCTTGACATGGGCTCTCTTTGTCTCTTATTCCTTTACAGAAATTAGGTCATCTGCCCTATGCCCCATAACTCATGCTGACACTGCACCCCAGATTTCTTGCTGAACTAAGTGTAGCCAGCTGAGGAGAACTCTATAAACTTCACCATTCTTCTCCACAGACATTTGACAGCAGAGCAGATACAAAGACATTATAAAGGTGTTTAGGTTCTTTATTACCTTAGCACAGGGCTAACAGAGCTAAAATGTGTGGGTTTCCTTCTCTTGCCTTGGAGATGAGGAGGATGCAGAACTAGATTGAAAATGGTCAGTCCAGCCATAATAATACCAGCACACATGATATTTCTGTTTTCATCTGATCCCACAAAGCATTCTGTTTTCTGCCATCAGGATCTTCACTGAAGACACCTAACTAGGAATTTGAATAAGTCACAGAATCACAGCATAGTTGGAAGAGACCAGAGTGGGTCATCTAGTCCAAGCTCCCTGATCAAGTAGGGTCATCCTGCAGCACATGGCACAGGATTGTGTCAGATGGCACTGGAGTACCTCCAGTGAAGGAAGCCCCACAGTCTCTCTCTAGGCAGCCTGTTCCAGTGGTCTGTCAACCCAGGTCCATTTCCTTCTTTGACAGGACTGATGCAAGCAATTGTGCTTGCCTTATATAATAGCAAGGAAACCAAGCTGGACTGTTGTAAGACTCTTACACATATTTCCACAAATTCTGTCACCCTTGACACATCACTCCTTAAGCCTAGCAATATTTTTATGTGAACTGAAATTTTATTCCCTAATATTATTTTTATATTATTCATAATATTCCCTAGTATTATATTATAATCTGAGATATGGAGTCCTTTTAGACATGCTACATAATTTGTTTCAGGGGGAGGATGGCAGTTTATCAAACTTTTTTTCTTCTGAAGATGTCCAGTTAATGAAAGTTCTTGCTTAAATCAAGCAATTATCATCTTTATAATGATCAATCTTTAGATAGTTTCATTTTGCAATTGTATTACAGTAAATTTCAGTCCATGCTCCCTAAAGAGAGGGAGAAAAAATGGGAGCGTAGAGTGAAAAGTCTCAAACTATTATTTCTTGCTAGATAATATCTCACTCTTTGTAGGTTTTGATAGTAACATTTGAACCTACCTGGAGTCAAATCCAGCCAGCTTTGATTTTGTAGTAACTTGATTGTGTTAGCACTGGATTTGTTATTTTGCTGTTCTTTCTGATAAAGTAATTTTTATGTAGTCTCTTGCTTTTGTTTTGTTGCATATCAGTGGTTTGGAACAAAATTAATCAAACTGCTTCCAGGTCTCTGATTCTCCACTGTGAGAAACAACCTTTAAACTATTATGTGTTACAAAATTTAACAGTTATTTCTAGATGTGGCGCAATGTCTGCGTGAAAAAGCATTGCACTATACTGATAATTCTCTAGGGCTATGCCTTAAGACTGCTACTCTTTCACAGGCTGTGGTTTCAGTAAGTTGTTAAAAATAATACTTCAATAGCATTCAGTGAACTTAAAAGAACTTATATCATCCATTTGAAAAAAAACTTAATGTAAATCAAGATTGAGAAATGGCATCAGAAATACCTGAATGACACAACAGGAAGCAATATAAAAATGAACAAATAATGCAGCCAAATTAAGGGACAAGCCTCAGAGTGGGCATATTAACACTGAAGTTTAGGCTGAGTTTCAAATTAAAGTCTTGCTGATAAATGCTCATCATTTTCAGGGAAATTCTCTTTTAGCTGTCACTGGCTTTATCCTGGGTTTCAGTTCCAATCTATTTGAGGCTTCTTAGCAAGTAATAAGTACCTCAATAGTCCTAAGTATTTTCCTGTTCACAAGTTGAAAAGCATCTGATGGAAAGACACTACAAAGAAAGCATATAGAGCAAACTCCTTTTTTGGGAACCTAGTCCATCAGAAGAACTGGAGGTTTCAAACTAAAGAACTTGAAACTTCTGAAGGCATTTGTTTTGACTCTGCATAAATTTTAATTTGTAATGAAAATCCATGGTAAAAGACTTTAGTGAAATGCATATTCTTGGTACTAATGCAGCAGATAAGATTTTTCAGACCTAATAGTGAATTATGAATCCATACATTTTTTACATTAAACTAGACAACACATAATTGCATTCATAATCGTACTTTTTCTGTCTGAATTTGTGCTTCACCTCCATGGCAGAAATGGAAGATCAGCTGCTTTGGTTTTAGAGAAGAAGCTTCCAATGTTGTGTTGCAGCCCAAATGAATAAAAACTTTAATTGTATCTTCAGCAAGAATGCTGTAATGGACCCTTTCCAACATCCTAGATGTGCATCTTTAGGTGAATCTCTGGATGAAGTAATGACTGAAAGTGCATTTTTTTAAAACTGCATGTGGCCGTTAGGTATAAGATCTTCTCTGAAGCTGCATAGGCCAGTGACTGATGCTATGACTGCTGTGTTTCACAAATTTGCAGTTGTGTGATGGTAGCAAAGGCAGGCAGGCAGGCAAAAATGCTATCCTGATGCTATATATGAATAAGGCAGAAAATATGCTTGAAAACTGTTTTGTCTTTGTTCTCCTACTAAACTGATGGTCTGATGAATAATACTATTGAAACTTCCTCTAACAAACTTGTCCCTCCTCTCTGTATTGCTAAAAGAAGTTATGTCTTTTTGCTTGGCTTGGGACTCTACTATTAATTAAGCAGCATAATGAATTGTTTGCTCAAATGTGCAGAACATTCTGTGGATTAAATCCTTCCCCTTACTTCTAGGGAAAACCCTTTTGCATATTTTCCTAGTTACAGTCCAGTTCATGGTGAAATTCCAGAGTCTGGGCTATGGTGAAATAAAAATACAAATAATTTGGAATTAATTTCTTTGTTTCCTACAACTTGATATAAGTCTATATTGCAGAGTGAGTATGGGCAGGAAAGCATCTTGCATTTATTTGTTTTTGGGGGTTTTTTTTGCCTCTTACTGGGATAAACTCATTACTGATTCTCCTATTTCTTCTTGTGTCTCATGAATCCTCAGTTCAAGGCAGAAGGTGATACCTTCCTTCAGTGTGCTTCAGGGTAAAGAGAGCAGCCTGTATAACAAATAGAAACAGGATGTCTCAAGTAAGGAGAGACCTATAAGAATCATTGAGTCCAACTTCCTGCTCCTTGCAGGGCTACATAAAACTAAAGTATATCACTAAGGGTGTTGTGATATAACCAGACTCACCTTGTACAGGCTTGGTGCCATGACCATTTCCCTGGGAAGTCTTGTCTCTCAGAACCATTTCTATTAAAAGTTCACATTCACATCCTGTTGTCAAACTGTGCCATGGAATGTTGGTGTTTTGGATTGGTTTTGAGTTTGGTTTTTTTTTCTGTTTCCGTTTATTGCTTATTTAATGCCAGACACTTTTGTAAAGATTCTGATGATGATTGTACATGACTTTTCACATTACAGAGTTTCTTCTTGTGTCAACTTCTTAATGGGTGGGTTTTGTTAGGAGTCCAGAAACTGACTAAGCTGATGTTGCTGGTACCTCCAAGAAGTAATTTTTGTAATGTAGAGGAAAGTCTGTTCTGCTAGTACCTGGACTGTCCCAAGGAGAAAGATATGGGGCAGATGACGACTTTCATGACCACTGTTCCCACTTTTATCACAAGCACCAATCCCATAACTAAGTGTTGAAAAGTGAAATCTCAACTATTTGCTGTAAAGCCAAAAAGAGCCTGGCATTTATTGAGGATGATGATAGTCCATGTTTTCCACCGTATTGCAAAGGTCAATGCCTAACTTTTGTGAACAGCATGGAGGAGCTGGAACAAAACCAGTTTGTCCATGTTTTCTGTGAGGCCTCATAAATTGAGAGGAAGAATGATTGCAGTGAGACATCTCTAGAGCTCATAGATATTTGAGAAGTAATGCATCTGTCTGTCCATTAGGTATATGAAAAGCCATTGGTTTTTCTTATATGCTTAAGCTGTGAGTCAGTATGACCAGATTGTTTACAGTTTATTCAAAACAAAGTTGTAAACAAAATTCAAAACACATGTGAACATTCCTGTTCACACCTGAAGTACAAACCAACTTTATGGCTCTGCATATTGCACTTTGGCCCATCCAGCTGTTGTAAAGATGCCGAGAGTTTTTGTAGTTCATTGTTAAAAGTATGAGCAAAACTATTTTAAAAATTACTCCAGTGAGTTTAAGATTATGGAAATGAATTTATAACAAAAATGGATGGTGTAACCCTAATGGGCAAGAAACAGTGCTTCAGAAATGGTGCCTTGTGGTTATTTGTAAAAACTAATTTTAATCAGTTCCTAAATACACCAGCCAATGAAATTTCTGGGATTTGCATCAGTCCAGTGTGAAATAATATCTGTCTTTTAGGTCCGTCTGACATGTCAGCAATTATGAAATTCAGCAGGAGACCCACATGTCCTGATGCCTCAGTAGCAGCAAGCCTACCTACACCTCCTGTTCCCAGGCACCGGAAGAGTCACAGCCTAGGAAACAAGTGTGTAATCTCAGCTGTTTTATGCTCAGGCAGTTACATGTGTCACAAAAGTTTAAGATAGCATTAGAGAACATGCTAGTATTTTTCCTTTTAATTTCTTTATTGTAAGAGTGTTTCAGGCTGTTCTATTTATTCTCTAGGTTTTCTCTTGACACTTCTGTTATTTTTGCTGACTATTCTCTGCTAGTGCCAGGCACTGGCAATACATGAAAGATGCTTATCCACTTCGGTCTGTGGATTCCTGGTGTGTCTCCTTTATCTGCTTTTGCTGCCACCAAGGATGTTCAGGTTTTGTATGGAGGAGTTAAAACATTTACAGCTTCCCAGCTGCAGAAATTTAATAATTGTTACTGACAAAGAGAAGTAAAATCTGAAACTCATTTTGGTAGTAAAGGAGCATATGTACAGTACATGGTAGCATATCATTGCCTGCTCCTTAATAACCTGCTGATGAGGCAAAGACTGAGTGAAAATAATGTGAGCCAAGGGTTGCTGTTCGATGACATAAGAGGGGTTTCAAGTTTTTCTCTCCTTTCGCGTTCCAGTATGATGTGTCAGTTGAGCGTCGTGGAGAGCAAAAGCGCCACCTTCCCCACGGAGCGGCCGCGGCACCTGCTGGACGACAGCGTGCTGGAGAGCCAGAGCCCGGCGCGCGGCCCGCGCCTGCCCAACGGGCTCTCCGCAGGTGCGCTCCGCCGGGCCCGGCGCCCTGCGCCTCACACACACCTCAAAGCACACCATTAGGGAGAGCATCAGTTCCCTGCAAAGACTGATGGTTTTCATGGGCGAAAGTAGATCAGAACTGCTACCTGGTCAGCGTTACATCAGCTTTCCTCGATTATCCACTGATGCTTTTGGTGAAGGTGGCATGAAGGAAGATTGGTTTTTTAGATGCTCGGTGTGTGACACAAAGTGTTTGTCAGCTTTTACCGGGGGAAAGTGGATATATATTTTTAAAGCTACCTTTACACAAAGAAAGCTTTAATTTTAACTATATGTTTTAGAAGATGGGAGAATTGCTTGGCAGTACTCGCTAAGACTTATAAAGAAACATAAAATGAACACATTCTGGTATTATAATTAATAAAGCAATTATTATAATATCAAAAAAGTGATCAAGAATCTGTGTTCTAAGCAAGAGAAAGCCACCTTTTAAGAGACTCGGGCAATTTCTAGAATAAGAAATTTACTGTGAAAGATAGCACATTCCTTGACCAAGAGTTAGACACTGAGATGATCTTTGCACTTCTGAAAATACGGGGACAGCTCACTGTGTTAAAACTGAGCATTAGATGATCAGTCCTGGGCAAATTAAAACTGTGAGCTAAATAGCTGTGCCAGAAAAGGAGCGACAAATGGGTGATGGGCTTGAAGGAGAGATAGGAACTTTAGTTATTAATACCATCATATATATATATATTTTAATAACTGCTAGCAGCAGCATACAGCTGACATATCCTCTATTAGAGGTGCGTTTGCTTCTTGAAAATAAACCGTGATATCATATCTAATAACTTCAATTGACTTATGGATACTGTGGTAGAAATATTGTCTTACAAAGGAGCTGGATTTTATGTACCTGAAGTGCTCAGCTTCTGAAGTAAAAGCATGATGAAAATTAAAGTAATAGTATTAAAACACAGCAATAATATGAGTTATGAGTGAGATACTATAAAAGGAGAGGCTCATGTAAGCCTCTTCCAACTAAAGATTTTACCATGAACTCTAAACACTTCTTCAAAACATGATTTGAGTAAGCGGTGTCCACAGTACTATACAAAAGAGTATTCTGGTGATCCACATACATTGGCTTTGTATTTTCCCATGGGTGGTTTTCTTACTCCTTCTCTGTACTACTCTCTTTCTAGATAGCAGTGAAAGCTCAGAATTTAGTGAGGAGCTGCCGTCAGGGCTTGAAAGGTGAGTTAGTCTTCATGTACACTCACTGAGCACTCTACAGACTTAGCTAAGAAATTCACAAATGATCCCTAACATAGGTAAGCTCTAAATCAATAGTTATTTTTATCAAATAATTGATTAGTTAGGAAAAAAATGGCAAACATTTTGAAATAAAGCACCATAAAGGTATTGGACCTGAAAAGATTGGGAACTATCTCTGTCATGTTTACCAAACCCTAACTGTTGAAATCTCAAACTAGAATATCCCTCATCAGATATTTGCATTCACAAACAGGGGTCGTTTATATGCCACACTGGGGCCTAACTGGAGGGTACCAATCCGGAATTCTCCTCGGAGTCGAAGCTGTGTCTACAGGTACATTTCAGGGTCTGCCTCTTTCATTGTATGGTGCTAAACTTCAACTTGGGTCTTTAGGCTTTCCTAGTGTAATGTATTTTGTGTCCAAATAGCCTTGTATGACCATTACAATTTACGAAGTCTCCCCCTCCTGCTTGTAAGAACTCCTATTAATGGTAAAGCAGGGTTATGGCCCATTCGGATGAAATTCAGTTTAACTATTGATTGAACTAATGATGTCTGGCTTCCATTTTGCAGAAAACTAGGCTTTACATTGGGTTTTATGAAACCTTTATTACAAGTGATGATGTTAGAAGCATACCTTCTTGACCTTTCCCAGAATCTTATTTCCTGATTTACCAGATAGCTACCCAATAATATCTATCCGTGTCTGTGTGGCATGTTGATTTTGTTCAGTAAAAGGGTATGACCCTGGACCTCAAGTAAGAGAGGGAACATCCACAAGGCAAATGTAGCAGGTGTTCACAATGTTGCTAGTCACTAAAAAGTGGACTTTCTAGAAGCAGGTAATCTATTTACAGACCTAAGAGAGGTGACACTGAAAATTTGATATCGTTTGACAAATAAAAATAATTCCTTGCATGTATACCTGAACCTGACCTGAACCTGATAGATTCTGTGGTGCTGGCAAATGAAGACATATGTTTGAACAGTTAAGAAAATAGGCCCTGAATCAGTATTCTGTGAATACTGTGATTTAGTTGCAGTTTAAATCCAGTCAGGTTTTATTTTATTTAAATTAGTTTGCTTCAGCCATTGTAGAAGTATTGATATAATGTATAAATTACAGCTGCCTTACTTGTGCCAGTAACATCTGATAACAGTATGAGTTAGAGGTTAGACAAAAATAAAAATGCACACTTTATAGATTTGTAAAGAAATACATTTTGGAACAGTATTTCAGCTATTGCAGCTGCTTCTAGAAAATACTGTCTTAACATGACCATGGTAGACCTGTTTGAAAAACATACAAAAGCTAGAAATATAAAATGTACAAAGTTTAAAACGTGAAAAGCCTATTAAATCCACAAAGAAGAGTTACTCCCTAAAATATGTTTCTTATATTTATCAACCGTCAAGTAATTCTAATGCTTGTGGTCATTCTTCCTTTTCTGAAACCTTCTACTGCCTCTGTCGAATTTAGAATTGGCAAGAATGCACATTAGCAGAGACCAGGCAGGTACATGCAATGTAAGAAGATACACCTGGTAGTTGGAAGGGCTGTCCTTCCCTGGACATGGTTATGCACAACACTTGGCACCAGCATGAGTTCAGATTCGTTTGTAGACAGAAATGTGTTCCTTTCGCAACTGCGAGGTAGAGCATACATGTCCTTTTCCTTGTATTCATTATTAGACATGATTTAGTTGGTGCTGATAAACCCTATTGGTCCACATAAGAACATCAGGGTCGTGATCACGTGGCAATGAAGAGACGTTAGCAGCAGATAACCTACCAATCAGCATTTGGTTTTGACTTTATTAATGGCTGTTTACATTTCTAAATTTGTTTATACTTGGATTCTGTGAGTTATATCTCTTTCTCACTTTGTATGTGGGAAGTTTTCATCCAGGAAAAGGAAAAACTATTCTATTCTCTGTAAATAAATTATTGAACTTATTTTTAATAATTACTAATAACTATTTAATTTATTTTTAATATTGTTTTCCCAACTCTTTTCCAATTAGGCAAGATATTTTCATTTAATTTGAAATAACATTTGTGGGTGCTGTTGTAAAAAAGAGCTCTTGTAAAATTGTAAGCCAAACATTTCCAGAAATTCAGGTAATTTCTGTAATTTACCAGAATAAAAAAGAAAATTACCTGTTTTCACTTTGACTTTGGGTTTCAGTATTTATTCTGTTTTATTTTTTCATGTCTAAGCCCCCAGAATAGAACCTTTTTGAAAGATCTTGGTTTCTATTTGACAGCTAGGTTAGGAAAACACATATTCTAGAGTCACATTTCAGATTATACAATATACAATAAAGCAGTGCAGGATAGATATATTTAGAGCTAAATTATATTGCTCGCTTATCATCCTTATTTGTCTGCTCGAATGCATGAGGAATGCTTTGTCTCTCCAGCCCAATGGGTGCATGCAGCTGCACAGCAGGTGGTTCCACAGGAGTCATTACCATGGAAGGGCCTTTAAGAAGAAAAACACTGCTCAAAGAAGGCAAGAAACCTACTGTGAGTGATTCTAATTATAATTATTCCTATGGTCCTAATTCATTACTGGCTGGTTTAATTTTCAGGATTATATTAAACCTTCAGCTTGATACCACAGAAAACAATGGTTTTATCAATTGTAATTTGCAGTTTGCAAGTCAAGTTTCTAGCTGTGACAGCAGAGCAGGAGTGAAGCAAATGTGTAACCAGCAAGCAGTGTTGTGAGGACAGAAATAAATCTTGCGGCACTGCCTGATGACCCAGAGTGTCCTAATACTTTCCAGCTAACCTGACAAAGGCAGATATTGCAAGATGGACAATGTCTGCATTAAATTTCTGTGACAGGAAATGGATTAATATCTATTAATGAGCTGGTAGATTACAGAACTTGCAGTGGCACTCATAAAAGACTGAAAAGGGAGATCTTCAATACAGAATTTCCAAGGGAGGGTAAAAATTCTTTTGAACATATTTCTACAATATATTTTGGTGCTTTTGAGATATCACATTAAAATGGAAAGGCTGCAGGGCAGCCACCCATAGCACCAAAGTCATGGCAATTCATAGTTAACCTCAATTCATGGATTACACATGGTTCTAGTCCTATGCATTTGAAAACTTGTTTTCTGTAGAGTTGATTGATGTATTTCGCGTGCTACCCAGTTCATTTCAGAGCTAAAAGATTTGAAGAACTGCAGAGTTGTCAACTCAATAATTTTTTTTTAAATCAAAATCTAAGATCTGTACAGCATAAGGCTGCACACTATTCTTCTCTAAACAATCAGTACTGATACTTTCATGAGATACCCAACAAAAAAGGATTGTATTCACAGCCAGCCATCAAGCTTTAGGTAGCTGGGCTGATTTACACCAGGAGACATGCTTTATCTCCATTCCTTGCTTCTGAAATTAACTTTGGTAGCACTTGGACTTGCCTGGGAATACATTTTTGAAATGTCAAAGATATGCAGAGTTTTTCCTAATTTTTTTCCTTTTTCATTCAGCTCTCCTCATGGACTAGATACTGGGTCATGCTTTCAGGATCAACGCTTCTGTACTTTGGAGCAAAAGCTTTAAGAGGCACTGAAAGAAAACATGTAAGCTTTAATTTTATTCTAAACCAAAACTTGAATACTCATAAGTAGATCTGGAAGTGTACTTTCTGTTCCAGGCTAAGCCATATTTCTGCACAACTTCTACAGTCAAAAGTTAATCTCTGCTACAGTCTCAGCTATGACTGACTTGTCTGTCTTTTCCAGTATAAATCTACACCTGGGAAAAAAGTCTCCATTGTAGGCTGGATGGTGGCACTGCCTGATGACCCAGAGCATCCTGATATTTTCCAGCTAAATAACCCTGACAAAGGTAGATATTGCAAGATGGACAATGTCTGCATTAAATTTCTGTGACAGGAAATGGATTAATATCTATTAATGAGCTTGTAGAATACAGAACTTGCAGTGGCACTCATAAAAGACTGAAAAGGGAAATCTTCAATACAGAATTTTCCAGGAAAGGTACAGATTAAATTGAACTTATTTCTACAATATGCTGTGGTGCTTCTGTGCTGCCTGCAGAGACATTCCTTTCTTTTGACAGTTATTGAAAGTTTCACAGAAATTCCTCAACTAACATGAGATTGCGGCACATCCATGTATCTCCATACATTGATCTCCAAGTCTCTGAATAGCTTCCTTAAAATCAGTCAGTATCAAATCTTGACTTACACTGAGACCAATTAAAATATCAAACCATTTACCAAAGTAAGTCTGCTAAGTAATTATTACTTTTTAATAATTAATTTTGCACTGCCATAACTAATTTCCCTTGATTAAACTTGAAAAACTTCAAAAGATAAGAAAACTCCTGGAGTTATTTTGCACTTTGAGTGGCTGCTGACAGGTTCTTGAGGCTTTCTTCAGTTTCTATGTTTTCAGCTTTGGTGCTGGATATGGAGTCCCATCTACTCTGTAAAGTGCATCATCTGGGTGTTAACTAAAATGCACACAATATTTGATTGCAGGAAACAATTTGCAATAGGACATTGAAGAAAAACTAAGTTTACAAATATGAAAAGCTTTATCAGAAGCCTTGATGAGAAGAAAGCCAGGATTAAATTAGATCTGACCTGCGGCGTATGAAGTCCCCAGTTGTGGTATAACCAGAAACATTTATTAAAAGTGTATATAGATTTTGTAATATTTTCACTATCAGATTAGAATATCACACGCCTGGATAGCCAATACTGTAACTGTTCATGCATCTGCTAACCAATAATATAAGGGATCACATTCCTAGTATTCACGTCATTCACGTCAGCCTTTTCTTTAAATCAAGTGCTTGTGTAACAATTTTTTCTGCCAACTACTGAGGTTCTGCTGCCTGTTACATTTTAGAAACTTTGTTACATCTCTCCTGCTTTAACTAAATAGTTCTTGTTCTTCTTAACCAAGCAGGCTTTGTTCTCTTATCACTAAGCATTGTTTTCTTGCTGCACACTGACCTACATGGTCTTTTCTGAGGCTGTAATTCAGCATTTCTGCCTATGAGGCCACATATGTTCTCATACTTGCTTCACCCAAGAATTGTTGGGTAACATGCCTCACATGGGCTCTATTATATTAGCAGCATCCTGTTTGAACATTTGAGGTGCACATTAATTTAAGAGTTTACTTCAGGACTTTGGCTTCTGCACAGAAATCAGAGTCCTTTGAAACTGCATGTCTGTCTGCAAATTCTGAGTCTTTCATTTTCTTATTTTTGTAGGCAATGTTTACAAGTTTCAGACTGGTTCAAGGTTTCATGCAATATTATGGCATAAACATCTGGATGACGCGTGCAAAAGCAACAAGCCTCAGGTAAGGTTGTGAAAACTAGTTCTACCCACTTTTTCCTATTTTCCAGAAAATCCTTACTAGAAAAGTTACCTCTTTCAGTCTGTGTGCACACACAGAGGACAGACATAATTCCTCATTCTGTACGCTGATCCATTTATTCAATAGGCGAAAGAAAGATTATTTAAAATTAGAGAATTCCCATCAAATCAGGTTTTGTGCAGGTCTAGCTATTGGTTTGGTTACCTTAAGAGCATGTAACCTCTACTCTCAGTTGCCTCAAGCAAGATAACCTCATGTCTTCTTTAGAAGGGACTGTCTCATGGAAAATGAAAGCAACTATACTAGGATGGACTCGATGATCTTAGAGATCTTTCCCAAATGTAATGATTCTATGAGTAATTTACAATCTCTTCCAGGTACCTGCTAATCTAATGTCATTTGAATAATTTCTTCTCCTACCTGGTGTGACTTCAAGTGCCAAACTGAAGAAACAGGTTATTGTTCTCTAAGGAGGAAGAGGAGAATGTTTTTCCTGACATGAGCCAGCCACAGATATTTCAGCACTTTCCTATGTAACTTGAAAGTGATTCTGACACAGCTTTTAAAAGCAGAAAATGAATGTTATCCCTAGGACCAGATAAAGTCTCATGCACTGAATGAAAGCAGACAAGTTAGATGGACAGAAGATTAATCCTGACTCCTGCAGGATTCTAGAGCCCTCAGCTATTTGTGGTCAGAGACTGCATGAACTGATATTTGGCTGCAATCTGAGCGCTCTATCTTCTGCCTGTTGTTTTTCAAATGGTTCTTTTTATTGTTAAGCTGCTTTGTGTGACTGAAGAATATTTGGCCCATGTTGGGTTTCAACTCTTTCTAATGCACAGAATGATTGACAGTGTTAACTTGCTCCAAAGTGTCAATTAGAATAGAAAATTGTGGAACAACATTTTTATAATCTAAGTGCACTGAGTTGCTTGGCAATGTGGCTGCCTCAAATTTTCTATCAAATCTCTGGACAATATGCTGTTCATATTTGAGCTATTTGGGAAAAATGTATTTTGGCATAGGACAGTTGGTTTTCTTTTCATTCAGTTATTTTGCTCAGGAATACACTGGTAATAGATTTAAGGCTGTTTAAATTTATGTTGTGCAGAAATTTGTCTTTCATTCTTTTACCAGTGGCATAGTTGCTTATAAATTTGGTGTTTTGGTTCAGTCTGAACATTGTTGATTTCAAATCCCTTAGCACAGGGAAGCAGGTGATCAGGTATTATATATCACATGGTCCTGGCTCCTCAGAATGACTCCATATAATTTTTTCTGTTCTGTGCTTCTGTGGGTGACTTCTTGGCTCCACTCAGTTCCAGTATGTGTTGTGACTTCAGGACATTAGTACTGGTAGACAGTACTGCTGTTATAAAATCATGGTGGCAGTGAAACACTGTCTAACAGTGGAGCAAGTACAAAGAAGTCTCCTCATCAATATCCAGAGAATAAACGAACAAACAAAAGAAGTGTAACTGGGCCTTCTCCTCCGAAGGAACTCTCTCTGTGCTGTATTCTTGCTGTACCCTGGCACTCCTGCAGTCAGAATCGTTTTCTGTTCATATGTTCAATTCATCACTTTTTCTTTATGAAACACTTTTGCCATATAGCATCATTATTCAGGCTTCATCAATCACCAGAAAACTGCTTATGACTTTTCTAGGATTGTGTAGAGGAGAAATTGGCAAGTCAGCCTCTAGCTTACAAACCAGGAAGACCATGAAAGTCAGTTTAAGTAAACAGAGCCTCTACTAGAACAAAGTCCCCTGGCATTAGCAATATGTATTGTGCGGACTTCCGTGATTTGCTACATTTTAATTTTGAAACTTTGCTAACAACAAGGAGAAAAAAACATCTGTATTGTTAAATGTCGGTCAAAAGTAAATTTCTTGTTCTTTTAAGAGTTCATGTTACAATCCTGAACGCCTAATACATACCAGGTTTTCAAGAAAAACAGTTTCTGATGAGAACTGCATTTAGATCCTGGAATGTGGGAAAGTGTATGTAAAGTTGACAAAATTTATTTGATAACTGAGGAACTGTGTGAGAAAAGTGGTAATTAAAAATATATTTATATTGTTTTTCTCTTCCTTTGTTAACTTAAGACAACTTTGAACTAGGAAAAGCATGGTTATCTGCAAGGGCAGAGCATCAAATACCATTAGAGATGGTATAGAAACTTTTGAATGTGGTAAAATCCTGTCAGCAAATTACTTCAGGCTGTTAGGCTATGGTATAGTCTGTATTATTCTGCACCTGTGGATTTTTGTGATTAGTCATCAATGACATTAAACATCTTTTCTGTATAGCACAATTGTGAAATTACTGCAGAGTACTGAGAAATTCAGATTGATGGCAGTGAAAGAATAATGACAGCAGTGAAAGAATACTAGTAAAACATCTTAAACCAATTTAAAATTAGTCTTTAAGTATTAAACAGTTCATAGCTGCTGATAAGAGGTGTTATGATGCCATTTACCTGGTACCTGCTATTACCAAGTACTTCTATGGTTAGTTGAAAGCTGCTATTGAAATACAATGGGTTGCCTATCACTACTGATTGTTACAGCATTTTCACAAAAAAATATCACAAACCATACAAGTTTTCCTCCATCAAAGAGAACAACTACAACAATTATGTAAAAGTAAACATTGTCATAATTACCATTTTCAGACTTGTGAAGATATAAGTAATATTATTAATTTATTAAATGTACAATTTTTATGCAATTCAGTGCCAAAATGCATGCTTTTCCAAATAGCACTAAAATGAGGCAAAGAAACTAGTTTTCAAAGTGAGACTGACTTGTCACACTATAATGTTAATTAATTTCAACATTTTGGTTTGTTTTGTGTGGAAACTGTTGCACTATTTTTGGCTGTGTTTTCCAGCAGTCCACTGCATGCCATTTGTGTAAAGGATTCTTTCTATAATTCTTGTGAACTGTCTCACCTGTAAGAACTCTGGTGTTGGAATCTAGGTTTTTGGCAAAGTATTTTGTTACCTCAGTCTTGTATCGAGTTGCTGCATTTTTCAGTTTGTTACATTGATAATAATGATTGTTTTGCTAATTAAATACTTTAATGTAAAAAAAAAGTTTGTTTACTACAACAGTAATAGCATTTGGTTGTAAGTTTAAAAATGTGCAGGGTACGTATGCTGTTGACAATAAAATATTCTGAAAAGGAATAGTAGAGGTACAGAAGGAATGTTTTAGCTCAAAGGCAGCATGCATGTTTTATTTGTGAATGAATGGTAATATAATTGAACAGATTTTGTAGAGCACAGCGTCTAGCCATTTGGTAGTACAAATACAACAGAATCAACATTTCTAGCCTAAAATTGAAAAAGCCTCCAAATTTGCAACTTTTTCAAGTGAGATTTGCAAAGTCCAAAGAAGTAGAGACAAACGTAAATTTCTTTGCACTTCAAGTTTAACTCAGCATGTTTCCAGAAGACACCAAACTGAGTGATGCAGTTGCCACACCTGAAGACTGGGGCCTGGATAAACTTGATGAGTGGCTCAGGCTGACACAATTCTAATGAAAAGATCAAGAGAAACTCTGCTGAGCAGGACTTGGGGGTGCTGCTGTATGAGAGGCTGGACATATTCTGGCCATGTGTGCTGACAGTTCAGAAGTCAGCCATGCCCTGGGCTGCATCAAAAGCAGTGTGGGCAGCAGGTGACAGAGGGGATTCTGCCCCTCCACTCAGCTCTCATGAGACCTCATGTGGAGTGCTTCATCCCGCTCTCAAGTCCTTGGTATAGGAAATATGTGAACCTGTTGCAGTGGGTCCAGAGAAGAGACACAAGAGCAATCAGAGAGCTGGAGCACCTCAGCTATGAGGAAAGGCTGAGACAAATGGAATTGTTTAGCCCAGAGAAGAAAATGTGCCAAGGAGATGTTATTGCCACTTCTCAGTACTTGACGGGAACTTACAAGAAAGATGGGTTCAGATTTTTTTAGTAGGGCCTGTAGTGATAGAAGAAGGGATTATAGTTTAAAACTAAAAGAAGGTTTATTCAGACTAGATATATGGAAGAAATTTTTTGCAGTGAGTGTAATGAAACCCTGGGTTGGCCAGAGCGGTGGTGGATACCCCATCCCTAGAAATGTTCAAGGTCAGGTAGGACTGGGCTCTGGTTGAAGATGTCCCTACTTATGGCAGGGGAGTTGGACTATGTGATCCAACTAAAACCATTCTATGATTTTATTTCTTATGCAATGTAAATAAGGTCCGGGTTATGACTGGCAATTAAGGCCCTTTAATTTCTGTGGAAACATAATTTAATGATCGGTTGTCTGAGAGAAATATTACATGTGAAGATGAGAGCAAAACAAGCAAATATAAAAATGTTACTTCTACAGCTGAACAGGAAAGCATATATCCTTTTCCTGAAGTAGACTCCTTTTCCTGTTATTCCTGAGAAACAGGAAGAGTGTTCAAAGACTTTTTTATTACGTGGTAGTCTTCAAAGTAAGTTGGATCTATATGATTTTCCTTCAGTGTTATGTGCAGTGTTTCTTTATAAATATTTTATAAAGGAAGCATCTGTGTCTCTCATATCTATCAAAAATGGTTCTTTTTACTAATAGCATCAGTTAAAACAGGAAAATTGACTAGAATTCTTCTCCTTTCCATAGGTGACAAGATAGAAAATAAACAAAGTGAGCTTGTTAGGAAGGAGAACCAACTATCATAATATGCCAGGTTGACACTGTTATGGAATCAAATTGCAGGGGGGAAAGAGGACTACCTTCTGCATTGCCCTATTTCACTATAAGGTAACGTGCTTTTGCCATACAACACCCAAAGATAAGTACTGAAGAGTTCATTAAATGCTCATTATGTCCAAGCATCTTGTCTTGTAACCTGGGAGAGAGAGAGTAAAAAAAGAAATATTAAATAACTTTGTTCCTACTCTGGATGCTGTGCTAGGTATACAAGGGAGGGCACTAGCACACAGCATTAGTTTTTCTTTGGAAATAATTAATGGTTGATTGTGGTGTTTCCATAGCTGTGATCCATTACTCTGGAGATTTGTCTATCAAATTCAAAAAATACACCATATCTTGGAGAGCGTTTACAGGTCTTAGTAGAACCCAGATGTAAGAGCATCTCATATAATTATATTAGGAAGGCTAGAAACACCCATTTTGCATCAGCTAAAACACAGTGGTCCATAAGAAAGTGCAGATTATAGTGAACTGGAGGAAGTATCCTTTGTATTTCTGGACTTTGTCTGGAGCCATATTCTTTCTGCCAGAAGTAAGGTTCAAGGAAGAATAGACCGTGGTGGAAGAATCATTTGGTGTTGGAAATGATTACTTGCTTCAGATGATTCATCTTTTGGGTTTGCAAGCTTGATGTAACTGAGTAAAAAGCAAACAAGCAAGGTCAAAAAACAGATTTGTTCTAGCATACATGTAGAGAAAAGTATAAAATCCTGATGAATCAAAGTAGCAAACAACCATCTAACTAAATTATTTTACATACAGTTTGTTAATGATACCACTGTCTTAAAATACCAAATAAAATTTGTGAACACAAAGGAACACCCTAGAACACTTGGGAACACTGGAAGATAGTTGTAGTAAATGGTTACCATTTCTTTTAGTAATATAAAACTATAAAATTGAACCAGACATGGGCACAATAAATATGTCTTTTCTTGTTGAAGGTAATGGGGCAAACAGACAAAAACATGGAAAGCAAGAGAAGGGGCAACTAGAAGGTGAAGGTTTAAAAAAAACCCACCAAGCAAGTTCCTTTTAGATTACAAGGTATTCTTTGTTTGCATTCAAATACAGCATTCTTGGAAGTCCAGCTAATCCTATCTGCATTGTTTAGCAGTCCAATTGTTTTAATTATTTCAGGAAGTGGGGGAGGGAGTAGAAATAGTTTTTATTTCACCTACCAGCCTCCAAAAATGTACATTAGTAACTGCTGAGGAGACTTGATCTTCAAATCCTGCTGTGAGTTTTTACTGACTTTCCCCCCCGCCCCCTGCCCCGTATATATTTATGGAAAGGAGAGGTGATAGGGGGCATACATAGACCATGGACACAGTTCTTTTCTGAATCTATTAGGTGACACAGCTGCTTTAGAAAAGGAGAAGAGGACTCCAGGCATGAGTACAAGCCCTCTGGAAAATCCACACTCACCAGGGCAAATTGATACAGCTGTGGCGTTGTGGGACAGGTTTATGAAAGCAAACCTGAAGTCTTTAAGTGAAAGACTTTTTCTAACAATTTTTTGGTTTGTCATGGGGTTGGTGCAGTTTTGGTGGTTTTCATTTTTTCCGTAAGTAACTGGCCTATAAACATGTATGTTGAGTTCTTGTACCTCAGTTAAAAAGGAAGTACCTTCTAAAAGCCCTGTGGGTACTATGACCCCGACCAGCCCACCTGCCACCCCACTGTGGGCTCGGTAGTCCATTTCAGCTCTGCTCCAGGCCCCCAGCCCCTGCCTGAGCTCTGCCCTTGCAGGCTCAGATCTAACAGACTTTGTAGTCCAGGCCTTTACTGCAGGTAGCCTCAGCTGTGGTCCAGCATTGCCTCCTTGGTACCCTGAAGCCGCTGGACTTGTCGTGCTCTGCACTTTTCCCTGCTTTCAGCTTTAAACCTGTCTCATCCCACAGACTTGCTGGGTTCTCTCAGATACTAGTGGGAGAGGGAGTTGGCCCTGGCCATGGGCCAACCCTGCTTGCTTTGTCACAGTACTGAGGCATGGGGTCCTGGTTGCTGCAGCCTCTACGCAACTAGCTGTCTTCTTCCCCTCAAGCCCTAATAAGAGAGAGATTTTCTCTCTAAATAGTTCATAAAGCAGACAAATGCAGTTTGCAAGACTAACAAACAAATCTATTAATGCTATAGACGACTGTTAATTTTTCTGATTCATTATTGCATGTATGTTGACATTATGTGGCTATCTCAAATCCTACTGCAAGCTCAAGAGTGAAACCTTGTTTATAAGGAAAGAAAGTGGACTACTACCTGTATTGTGGGAAGAGGATATAATTTAAAGATCACATTAAAATTATTTCTACACAAGTTTGTGTTTGGCAGAAATTTAGGGCAGCAGCCCTTTTACATACTGCACAAGAGTAAATGAGTAAATGCATTTGACTTGTGAACTGGATCAATGTGTCTACGAAAGACACTTTCAAATTGGAAAAAATTATTTTGTCCACATGGGGTGGTTGAGGCCTGAGTCTACTATTTTCTACAGGTATTTGCACAAGGTTGGGAAGCACCTAATAGCACCGTTTACATGTCCTTGCAGGAAACTGGCGTGACATACCTCTTATCAAGGATACATCCCTTTAGAGATACACAGCTTTGGCTCTGATAGAGAACTGTGTTGGGTATGCTACAATTTTAAATGCAATAATGAAATTTAAAGCATTTCATTGTAATAAGCATTTTATTCCTGTGTTCTTCCCAGAAATAAAGACATTCTATATGTAAGATCTCTATAGCTGGAACAAAGGTCTGTAACTTAACGGCCTTTGGCACTAGAAAAGGAAATCCCACCACAGAACTCCTATGAATGCCAACCTTGTATTTTATTGTAGAAATGATTCTGCTATCACGTCTATCTCTAAAAGTAGACAGGACTCCAGTAAGTTACTGGATTTTTCTCATTATTATAATTAATTATAAATTTCCCTGTACTTTTTTTTACTTGCATTTTGAACATATAATGGTTAGTTTGTGTTTCTCCATTTTACACAAGTTAATTTGACAGGCGCCGGGGTCGAATTCAGAGACCTCCTCGAGAACAGTGCACCACTGCCGCGGTCATTTTTTTGCACTGTACCGTCTATGCCGTTCGTTTCCAGGATGTGGTGTGTGGGAGCGTTCCCCCCGGGGCACAGCGTGCGGACCTGGGTAATCAGCGCTCCGGAGCCTGGCGTCTAGCTCTGCGGCGGGACGGGCAGGCTCTGCTCCCCAGACCGCCCCCGGCACGGGCCGGCGGCATCGGCGTCCCGGGGCCCCGCGCTGCCCGTTCGCGGCACCAATGCCCCGGGGTACCTGGGAAAGTGGCGGGAGAGGCCGCGGCCCGCCCCGGGGGTCCCTCGGTCCGGGAGTCCCTCGGTCCGGGGGTCCTCCGTCCGGGGGTCCCTCCGTCCGGGGATCCTCCGTCCGGGGGTCCCTCCGTCCGGGGGTCC